GACCCCTGCACTATGTTATTGTATTATGGTTATCTAATTGGCATGGTTATATACAATAATAATGTACCTATGTATTAGCAAATAAATATTTAATTCACAAAATGATACAATAATTTTTATTTCCATATGAGCGTAATGTAAAAAAAGGGTCATTTAATATGATGTTCCGGCTTAGAATTTTTGAAATCTGACAACCCTAGAATAAATAAACTAATAATAAATAAAACTAAGGGAAACAACGTTAACCGTAGTTTGTTAGCAGATATTTAACGACGTGTTTTAATTTTTTGAACGGTAATGAGCAATATTACAATCAATGAAAAATATCATAACTCGTTTAAAAGTAGTAAAATATGGTAAAAAAAAAAATTGATTTTTAATCCACAGCTAACAATTCTCTATACTCCATCTTCATATTTGGTTGGTTTACTCTAGTATTAAAGCTAACAATACGAAATTGGAACCACTATAAGCAGATTTGCTATATTATGTTATACATTTGTAAGAGATAGTGACAACACATGTGCGGGTGTGGCTTCCTTTTGAAGGGTTAAACGTTATTATATTGTGGGCACCGCGTGCTGCATACGTGATTGAATGTATGATTGGCGTAATTTATGCGGGTGAACTTCGGGCGAGCACATACATGTACAGGCACCTCGACTATCGCACGCGTTGCATAGACGAATCAGACGAAATTCGTCGTTAAACACAAATATAGTGTAATGCCGAGTAGATGTACATACGCGACGACCTGATTTCCATAAATAAATAAATAATATTGTTCCATGCACAAATGATACTCGTTTAGTTAAAAAATGTTAAAAAATAAAATAAAAAAAAACAACAATTTAAAAAATTATAAAAGGAAATCCGATCGAAGTATGAAAGTTCAGTGTACTATGTAATATTATTAACATGTAATTTTATCTCACTAGAAAACATTTGCCTCAACACAGTTTCTACAAACGATGACTTAAACACTCGTGTTGATACTAGATACGGTAGAGCTTGTACTCCTAAACTACTTACTGAATGTAATTTAATTCAATGGTTTATAATATTTTTTTCTTATTCGTATTAATATAATGTTTTTATAATAAATACTCGAATTACGTACGAACTAGAACGTGCAATAGTAAACACTATAAATCCATAAGTTTTTATATTCATTTAATTCCTAATCATATTTGAATTGTTTATAAAAATGTATTATAACTATATTATAAATATAAGCACATTTAAAAACTTATCGTTAAGGTAATTTTTTTTTTATTTTACTTTAGTTGAATTGCATTTTTTTTAAGTTTTTAACATTTGAACCTATTATTTTGAAGGTTAAACTACAGGAAAGATGTAGGAATACGGTATGCTAAATCATAAAATGATCTGGTGGTCTCCACTCCGAATGTTATTTGGTGACCGGAAGAGTCGCTTAAACGTAAAATGTTTTAAATAAAAAATAATTGTAACAACTGTTGTTGCAAACATTGGAATTTATGTTTTTGAAGAAATTTTGATTTTTCGATACTTAAAATTATAATATCTAAATTTGTTTTAACGTAATACATACATTTTTCATTTATTTAAGTTTTCATGTATACATTAATGATTTTTGAAAACACCTTATGTTATAATATAATATAATGTAATATAGTTGGATATAATATATACATATAATATATAATATATACATATAATTTATAATATAATGAAATCATTTCGGAAACAAATACGAGGATATGAAACCAGAACTATCGTTCGTACTCTTTTATTTCAAATATTTATAGGTTTTATTCATTGTATGTGGGTTGTACATTTTAATTTTCTTTAAAATCTTAAATAAAATTGTCTGCGTATGGTTCATTAAAACATGATTAATAATTTGTATGTGATATTTTTCTAAATTAAGTGTATCATACTTTAATTATCTGAGATATGGTTATTGCAGTGGTGAGAATAGGAAACATTTTATTTTTAAAAAAATTTTTATATATTTTACGACGTTGTATAAAATAATAAAATAGCTTTATACAATAAAAATTTTGGTTGTAATTTAATTTTAACTTAAGTTTAAAATAACCTAGTCTTTAATTCTAAAAACGTATAATAACCTTGGATTATATTTGACCTAAGCTGATTTTAACACAATGAAATATTGAAATGAAACTATTATACTCGATCATTAATATTTAAAATAATGCTTTTAATGTTAAATTGAGCGTATAACTGAAGAAACAAATATAATAATACGCTTCTATGATATTAATTATTTTAGTTAATAAGTACGTATTTTGACCTTATTTTGATTTAAACCAAAAATAAAATAAAATTTTTAGATGAAACCAAACGATTTTTTTATATGGATAAGAAAATGTTATACATTTTTTGTCGATAATTGTTTGTACATCAATGTTTTTACTAACATAAATTGGTAAAAATTTCTTAAAGATCATTAAAATTATTATTTGTGCATTGTAACGTACGTCATGTTATCGTTTGTAGTGAATGAAACTGAACTACATTTTTTGTTTTCCTATTTAGTTTAAAGATTGCTTATGTTTTTTTTAGGTTTGTTTTATTACTTATCGAATAAAATATTTGTTAAATAAAGCTATTATTTTGAAACGTATTCTATTAGAAGATGTTTCATCAATTTAGTAGATTGGTATATAGAAACTATGCACAGGAATAAAAGTGTGAAAAATAATAAATTTTGACAAAAAAATAATTATATTTATACGAAGAATAAATATAATTTATATATTATTCCGAATTTAAACATACTTTATCATTTCTAATAGTTTTGATTAGTTTCGAACATTTTTTAAATATGAGAATGATAGTTCTGCGTTGAGTGCTTATCAATAATTTAAATTTGAAAACATAAAAAATTAAAAATATTAATACTATTAGTTTAGATTTTAATGAAAAATAAATATTTGTGAATAAATATATAGTGTATAGGGAAATTTCAATCGAACGATTCGGTGAAAACAATATTAATCTCAATGAAAATTATAGAAATAAACGGTTTTTATTTTTATTTTTTTCTGCTTAACAACAAATTATTTTATGTGCCTGGTAAATATATAGAAGAGATATATATGTAAATAATAATATTTGTTGAATATAAATATTTTTAACAGTGTATTAGTCATCAAAAAGAATGTAAATATATATACAACATTTAAATAAATAATTATTGTACTTAGATTTTACAATTATTGTTAAGTATATAATTTAAATAAACTTGTGTTTAGCTTTTACTATTTCGCTTTTTCTAGAATATAGGTGATAACAATTTACAAGAATTATTATAAAACACTGATGCACGCCACATATTATTTGTATAAATATATGTATTAAAAAAATCAAAAAAATTAATTAATTATAACGATTAGTATTGATTTGTTAATTGTAATAAATCCATGTAGGCATAATATAGGATTTCTTAAAAAGAACGCAGGATTTAAATCTGCTATAAATGTGTATCTTGTTTCACTTCAAAAGAAACAATCCCTTTGTTGCGTGAGAAGTTCTCAGACAGACTAATCTCGTTAAGTGGCTAAAGTTACCCACCTAGATCTTGCGACTTAATGCCGTGTGACTTTTTCCTATCGGGATACACTAAGTCTCGAGCTTATAGCAAATTTAAGTCTTCCGTTTTTTTTTCCTTAACACCATACAATTTTTTATTTCTATAACAATTTCTATTTATGAATTAAAAATTAAAAATATACGATGGTCATTTCAGTTAAATTTTTTATTTACATATTCTTTAGTTGAATTAACAAATGAACGTTCAAAAGTAACATGTTATATATATAATATTTATAGTCATATTTAATTTATAAATAATGATGAGCAAGTCATGAATTAATTTATAAATAATAATCAATTAATTTCACTGAGTGTCATAAGCAATATTTTTATTTTTTAATTTTAGTTTTTTCTTATTTTAAGAATTATTATTTGTTTATTAAATTGACAATATTTACACATTTTATACAATACAATTTTTGAATTTAAGTACGATATATTATATTAATAAATTTATAAATATAATATATTTAAGCATCCACTAAGTTTTAACCATTATTATTCTATACGGTTTTAATAATTTATGAAAATATTAACCTAGTATTGATAGTGTTTTTACTTTTGTTGTTATTTTGAATTCGAAAGCTACATCAAATATAGAAAACGTTTTCTACTTTTCCTTTCAACCCACGACGCGTTGTGATGTAAACATTCGAATTCGTAAATACGGATGTAACAGGTTCTTTCGTACATGGTTTAAAATGAAATGTTGATTAAATAATTATTTCATTCTTTCCATTTTTTCATATGCAATCGCGATTTTATTGACTTATGCACCTGATGGTGAATTTTTAATTTAAAACTAAACGTACATTATAAATATAAGAATACTGTATGTTAAGCACTTATTTATTTATTTCATTTTATGTATAAACTATTTATTTATATACTATTTTTTCGTGTACTAAAAATTTACTAATTTTTGTTTTATATTATTACTCTATTAAATAATAATTGATCGTAACTATATTTATTTATTTTTATTTAATTATAATTTCATACAATAAATATGTCTATATATGTATATTTATTTATGAAATTTTTTTGCTTTTCAGATGGAAATTACATACCTATATAATAGGTCAAATAAAAATGCGTTTCACCGTTTAAAACATTTATCAATATTAAATTAACGATTTTTATTAATCTACAATATTCATATTTAATTTTTACGGTTTTTTTTTCGATTTAATTATATTGTACCCGATCGGTGTATCGTAATGTAGTGCATGCGAATTATAGTATCGCGCTGAAAGTTGAATTATAGTGATTTTTGAACTGCACTTTTCGTTGTATTTTCTCGTTAACGTTTCGACGATACGCTCGTAAAGGGGTTGAAAACGACAACGTAGATCGTCACTTAAACACAATAATAAAAAAACTTCGTGAAAACGTACCTTTTTCGGCTTTGTTTTAATTATTTTACTCCCCTTCGTAGCTGTCCGCTCAGCGTCCCGTGTCCGTTGTTTAATGCACACGCGCACGCTTACACTCAACAGGTGGTCGACGAAACGAGCGGTCGGTATTTGCGTGCCGTGCCGTGCCGACAAAATGTGAACATGCGTCCGGCACAGTGGTCGGACCAACGCAACACTAGGACTGTGTGCTCACCGAGAGAGGCTAAGCCGCACGTGATGTCTCTCATTCGCTCTCTCTCTCTCTCTCTCTCTCTCTCTCTTTCTCTCTTCCTCTCTCCGACACCAGTTATTATTATGTTTTGAGGCGATTTTTTTCCTTTCCTCCTAACTGTACTTTATCACCGCCGTGACCGCGAAGACGTTCGAAACGATACGCAACGCCGCGCACCGTTCGCCTTGACATTGTACGTCTCGTCTAACCGGCAAAGTCCAGCAATGGTGGATCGTTTACCGGTAACGCGAGAAGTCCGATCGGGATCGCGAAACAATTATCATTCTCCTTCTCTTTCGCTTTCCGCATCAACGCATCGCGAACGCACGTATTTTCATATCGCACGGGAACCATTGTGTATTGCACTTCGTGTACTTCTTTTTTCGTCCATCGAAAAATAGTCGTCCTAATAGTACACGCACCGTTTTGTACTTTGTACAGTTTCCCATCCACTACACGTTAAGGATCAGTGTTTGTGAACCAACCCCAATTGTTCAATTTTCTGACCGTTTTGAGTGATCCGGTCAAAATGCACCGCAGTCCCGTAAAAACACGCAAAAACAGAAATTGACTTTGGAAATTAGGAGCAAACCGTATAATATGGATATTATAAATGACTTGAACTTTTGTTATCCTTTTAGTTGCAAACGGAAACTCGGTATAACTTAAAAATAAATTGTGCACACATTCGTTTTTTTTTTAAGGAATAGTCTCAGTCCGCGGAAAATAGATTTTGATAAAATAAAAACATAATTTCAATGGTTTAAAATGCAACCCTTTACCTCCGATGTGTACGTTTTAAATTAAAATACTTTAAAAATACGTCTATACATTTTCCAATAAATTTCAACCATCTGTAATGTAATTTGTAGAAGATATATGCCATTAATTCCTAAAAAAATATGTTTTATGGTATGTACTTAAGTAATAAAATTACTCTTATAATAAAATAACCCAAAAGACTTTGATTTAACTTTTTTTTATACTTCCAATTACTGGACTTTCTTTTATCCCTATGAGCACCCATTTAACCGACATTTCATGGTCAATATTTAATAGATATGCAAAAAAGTCTGCAGATATTTCATTTATACAAATTTTATGTATCTTATTTTCACTTAAGTTGTATCGTTAGAAGTTCAACCTACTTTATTAAGAAATTTGGTTCTTTTACTATAACAATTATCTTTAGAAATATAAACTGATCGGGTGGAGAACCTCTTTCACTTAGAATTGTTTTTCGTAAGCAACAGTACATTGGTTTCAAGTTTAAAAGATCAATACTTAAGTGAATGACTCGTCCCTGTATCTAACCTGACCTAAGATTTTCCCCTCATTTTGAAATTTAAAAAATACCTCTCATAAATATTTTTTTTTCACTTAAAATAACTATCCATAAATGATTATTTTTTTATGTGACTCACATATTATAATATTAAAAATAATTGGCCCAACTGATATTTTGAATTTGACATGTTCACGATCCTATACTACGTTTTCCGTGGCTCATAGGAAGTAAACATGCTGTGTTAAAACGTTTAAATCGAAATAAAATAATTAGATTAAACTAGGGGATCTAATTTGGAGTTGGGTATTTTATTTAATTTTCGGAAGGTAATTGAGGATAATTTATGGCACATCCATTATTTGTTTTCTTTTCTTTTTTCCATTTCTATATTCGATAATTAGGATAAATAGGATTTTAGATGTTATATTTTACTAGTCACGTAAAAGTGATATCAAATGCGTACATATATATGACCATATATTTCCACTTTGTAAAACACATGTTTTAAAACATATCAGTACGGAACATTGGAAATGGACAAAGAAACAATAAATCAGCTTTGTTCACATTTATTTTTTTTCAATGTATTTCTTTTTTACTGAACTTCATCGATCCATTTAATAGTTGACTGTAGAAAATGACTAAAACGTTTTCTGATTTTGTTTTTTCCCCTCATACTCGTATTCCTTCTGCTGTTTCCGGACGACTAGATAAATTCCATCTAATATGAACCATCTGTCATCCTATACTTTGACTATTCCATAAAAAAGCCTACATTCGTAAGTCATGAACACCAATTTCTATCAGTTATTTGTTTTTAAATAAAATGTTCAACCCCGATGTTAAAATAAATTTTTGTTTGATAACTAATTTTTAAACGTAACTCCAGCTATAATTAATTTATTAATATCCTCTTTGTTTTCCATTAAAATCTTTTTTAAAATTCTAAATTTCAATTTTTATTCAAAAAAAATTTGTTCCCAGTGGATATTTAAAAATTGCTATATGTAATTAATTTAACTTAATAAACACCGTAACTGGACGTAAGAATATTTTGTTAAATAATTATGTTAATGCTATGATTATATTAAATCGACTTGCATGCTTTTGAGTGAAATCACAAGTCGTGCATATTATTGTAATATTTATGAGGGTTCATTTATCAGTTTACAAATATCAGAAATCAGAATTCTTATTATATAAAAAAACCAACATACAGTATTTAATGATGATATCCTAACTACAGTCGGCATATTTATTTACATCAAGGACTCATAAGATTATCATTTAATAGCTGATTGCGTCTGAAACCTCATCGTTGTTTATAGATGTGAAAACGTTTGGAATAAGTACTATTGAATCTACGATAAGATACTATGTGTATTGTTATGGTATTATGTGGGAAGAAATTGAGGCTTGCAACCAAAATAGTAAAATATACTCAAATAAAAATGACGCTTTATCGACGTATTAATGAATCGATAGTTTTGGTCTGGGGTCGCGAATATATCGGTTTAGTGATTCATCTTGTCGTAGTTGCTTTTTCGGACGACTGGTATGCCGATTATCGACGTGCCTACATTGTTAAAGCTAACGGAAATTTGGAAAGTCTTTGCTGTTATAATTCTCATATCTACATCCGTCGCTTAATGCTAGACTACGTAAAACAATCACCTTGAAGTGTTACGCCACGTTTGAAAACAAATTACGGTCTTGAACCAATTGCCACTATCGTAACGAAAACGTGAAAATGCCCGATAATAATACAGCATTGGTTTCAATCCGAATGCCACAGATAACCTCATATGTATACAATATATTTATTTATTTTTTTTTTTAAAAAAAAGGTAAATAACAATTTTTAATAAAAAACATGTCTTAAATAGTTGTTGAAAAGTTGTTAAGATGCATGCCGTAAAATATGCTCCTTACAGGAGTTGGTGAATAGATTATATGTATATGGTTATTTCTATAAGTCCCACAAGCTCACTTACTAATATAAAATTATATTTTTAGTGTAAAGATTTTTATTCTTCTTGAGGAGTATAATTTGAGTCTGTAAACTCTGATATTGTTTTAAATAATTCTAGAAAAAATTGCATACATAGAAAATAAACGATGTTTTAATTTGAAAAACAAAAGTTGATGTAGACATGGGATTCTCCATAAGAGGTAAAATAAAATTTGTGTATTGGAAAATTAAGTCTTACATTATATATACATATATATTTTTTCAATAATCAGAATTATAACAAATGCATAGCAAAGCATATAAAAGGAGTGGCGAGTCTTTAAAAAATTATTCGGTGTATAATATTACTATGAATGCCAGACAAATCGTAGCAGTGGTATGTATATTGTATTATAATGTATATAATATGTTATATACAGTCAGAAATAATAAACATGTACTCTTTTGTAAAATTATTATTTTCCAAGGTTAGATGTGTGAATCGCACGCGCGCATGTGCTTTGAGTGGGTGCGTGCGTGCGTTCTCATGTATGCAAATTCAAGCAAATGTGGTTATATTTTGGTCATTCAAATCTATTTATCTTGAAAATTTGAATTTCTTTAAAACGCTATTTTGTTTTATACTTTGTTCATTGCCTATTAAGATGTATTTTTTTTATTTTAGTTTTTTTAATAATTATGATATTTTTTACTTTCTGAGTCATCGTGTTATTATATGATGTTTGTAATAATATACGAGGTTTATTTATTTAAAAAGTTTACTGAATTAAAGTTCTTAAAAATAGTCAAATTACATTATCGTTAATGCTTTTAACTTGTATATTCTTTTTAGCTCAACAATTACATTATATTAACAAAACAAAAGAACATAAACAAACAAAGTAATAATAAGTAGTATTGAGTAATATATAAACTAAAGATGTTTAATGGCAATACCAGCCTCCTGAATAAATGAAATAATAATAATGACAACCTTTTTAGAATTGTATAGAGTATTAGGATAGGGGAAAAATTGACTAAAATGTTCAAGGAATTAAGTAACTAAATTAATACTTTTATAAAGAGTGAAAGACAGTCGAAAAGAATATGATAAATTGTGATAAATGTGATAAATTGCAAATACTTTTCTCCATACTAAGCGTACAAAAAAAAGTTCAGTTAATTTAGTTTGTAGGCGTAAAAAGGTAAAAGATAACTTAGTAAGTTGTTCCAATAAATACACAAGTGATTAAAATAATAACGCTGTAGGAGTTGAGTAACATCTGATCAAGAAGTAAGGGTAAAAGAAAGACTCGTTAAGTTAGAGGAAGATTTGGCCTTGTTAGGGTGAGGTTAGGTTAGGTTAGCCTAATTGACCAAGATTAAAAAGGCTAGATTTAAAACGGAGAAAATCGTAAATATTATTACATTAAAATTAAATACATAAGTAAATAATTTTCTTTATCTTAAGAGGTGTTAAAGTAAAATGTTGCTTTGTAAATTTGTTTGTTATATTATAAAGGTTCATTATTAGTTATAATAGTTTGATTTGATTCTAAATATGTAAACTTACCATAGTTTATTTTTTTAATCTAATTAATTATTTGTATTATTTTTAATTTAAACCAACATTGTATATTCGATTTTTAAGATGACATATATTCACGAACAACGAATAAGTATTAAATGCTGTGTTAGATTCGGTAATCCTTTTACTGATACTTGTAAAATAATGCTAAATACTTAT